TTTAACATAAATGTCTTTCTTCTGCTTCTGTTGAGAGAGTTGTCTCCAAGAGGTGGTCATGTTATTTCAGACTACTCTTCCCTGTCATGTACCAGTACACCATTTTCCAAAGGCCATGTCATTGTGTGAAGCAACCACATACATTTCCACCAAGCCCTATGAGAGATTTAAAGAGCCAGTGAGGCAATTTTCCCTTTGCAGTTGACCCAGTAACCCAGCCAGACTTCCTTTTCAAAGTACCCACCTCTTCTAGATGTTCTCCACATTGATAGTATCTATTGGCTTCTTTCTCTTCATCTTTGACTCTGAGTAGCAGAGGGCAGCCCTACCCATCCTGTTTTTCTCTAAATGTGGAAGGTCTGAACCTTTATTGTCCTGTTGCCTCTTGCCAACTTCTGGCTTTCAGAAAAGCAGCAGCAAAAGATCAGTCTTTCTCGGCCCAGTTTTCATTTGCTGATGCAGAAATGTGCAGGAACAGCTTTATTCAGCCATAAATTTATTTTCCTATTGAAGGAAACATTAAAGAAGTCCTCCCGAGGTCTTGCCTCCTTCTATTTCTATAACTGGTATTTGCTACTAGAGTTTGGGACTGAGGGACCTGGGAAAGATTTTCGTGTTATGCAATAGGAACATTCTTCAGTTTTATTTACTTCATTTAGAGTAAATACTCTAATTAGACGGAGGAATCCTGGTGTAGAAATGAGGACTGTCAAGTCAGATAGATAAACAAGCGGAGAGAAGAGCTTAACAACAGGCTTGTCCTTGGTATTACAGGGCACAGCTGAGAAATAAGGACAGGTCTCACTTGCCAGATGAACACTGTTGTCACAGATGCTCTTGAGATCTGTGTTACCCCTGTAGTCTCTTTTCTGGGTTTACAGTGTCAGACAACAAATAAATTACAGAAGGCAAGCTTCTGAGGAACCTCTTCTTGATGCAGCATGCAGCATCCATGTCTTCAGCACTTTTATATATAAAAAGCCACAGTTTTTATTTTATATTAGGCCCCTTTTTTGTTGTTCATTTTAGATAATTTAAGTGACTGACTTAGAACTGCATCTCTCTTTCTGCTCTTTGGTAGTTTTAAATTTCAAAATTGCAAGCACTGTTAAATTATGAATTTAGTAGTCACATTTCTGTGCTTAAAGGTATGGGTATATGTAGAACTGCATTTATGTGTGTGTAAGCATTTGTGAGGCCAGGCTCTAGGAGTTAAATTGGGAACTTCCTACTTATTAGTGTTAGATCATCTGTCATGTTTCCGAAAAGTGTCGGGATAACTTAGAAAAAGCTAATTGCTAATGCAGTCTTCAACAAAGTGAAAGGGTCAATCCTGGAACCATTACTCATTCAGATAAGTATAGTGGAGCCAGCTGAACAACCTGTGTAAGTAATGGCATGGTTGAACTTTTTCATCAGATGTTGGAAACACAGTTAATGAGGAATGGCACTGATGACCCGAAAGGTCCTAAATCAATCATCTGAATATTTTAACAGCAGATTTTTATGAAGGAAGTAAAATACCAGAAAAAACTATTTTAGTTTCATGGAAATGAACAAAGCAGATTTATATCAACTAACAGAGATCCGTACAAGCTTTTATTTTACACCTTTTCACTTTTATCAACTAAAGATTAAAAAATTCTCTTTAAAAACCCACTCTATTTTTTTTCTGTCAAATTTCAGTCATATCTATTCTGGTCCAGAAAAGCATTTAGGTGTGTCTTACTTACAATATACTTTTTTGATACAGATACTGGTTATTCTAACTCGAGAGATTTCTCATTTCTTAACTGCGCCTCATTGCCGAGACACCAAGAGGAGCTGGGTGGAAGGAGGAAGGGCTGGATCCGGCTCTGGGCCCTCCTGGGTGACCACAGAGAAGCTGCTTTCCCCTCTGGGCCTCATGTTTCTCCACCAGTAAGACAGGGATGATGATGGGATCTTCCTAATGCTAAGTGCTGTGAGACTGAGAGCTGTGCAGTGGCAAGAAAGATGTATGGTCTGGGAATGGGATCTCTCTCTGTGTACTCCAGCCCTCAAATCAATGGTGAACCTGTTGGCCAACTTCAGCCAACGCTCCTGCTCCACTAATACAGAGAAGTACCTCGCTGCTAATTGAAAAAGCTATAGCTATAATATAGCTATAAAACCTATAGCTATAGGAGGAGTAAAGGATATGCTAGAAAATTGTGATATTTAGAACATGGCTAAATTCAGAGGAAGATTATTAGGAGTAGGAAGGAAAGGACACAGCAGTTCAAGCCTGTTTCAAAATATTGTGAAGAAATCTATCAAATAAAAATGACAAGCCCTTGTTGTCGAGAAACACCAAGGAACGGCAGAGTAGTCTGTCACTTGTGCAAAGTTTAGTAAATAATTTCTGGTGGGACTACTGAGCACAACTAGAAAGAGTG